CGTGGTGGGCAGAGCACAGATAGCCCATTGTGTAGCTTTGTGCTTAACTTCAATCAATCAAACAATATTTATTGTGTTTTCCTATACAAATTCTGTATCCCCATAAGGAGCTTTATTACGCGGTTAAAAAAGGTGCGTCTGAATTCATCGTTTGCTCTGTCAGAGCTTCTGAGATTTTTTTGTTATTAACAAGTAGAACTTCAGCAGGTAATTCCATAATTGTAATGTTAATGTCCAAGAATTTGTGGTATATTTTCGTAGTTTTGTGGTCTTTGTTTTGTTTAGAGCTCCATTGAAACTTTAATCTATCATTTTAAAATTAAGGACGGCTATGAGCAGATAGCTCATTTGTTTTGTGTCTTTGCAGAAAATTCTGAAACAAAAACGAACCATTTAAATTTGACTAATAACTTTTATTATTAAAGTTTATACGTTTTTAAAAACGAGTTTAAAATTTCTTATGTTTCTTTCATGTCAACCAGTTGATTGTTGACAATGCCTCTTGAAATTCCAAATGGTAAATTAAAATGGATGTAAAAATATATCATAACAGTTTAGTAACACAACATTTGAAAAAATAATAGATGCATAAGCCTTAATTAAAGTACTCGCGTTAATGAAGAATTTAGATGCGCTTAAATGACGGCGCATCATTTCAATTTAACCTATATAAAGAAGAAATAGTTATAAAAGAAATTTTGGTTTTTTTTAGAACAAGGATAAACTTTTTGCTTCTTTCTTTTACAGGTTAAGATTAATGTTTTAAATAGATTTAATATTTCTTCTAAGATAGTTCTAAAATTTGCTAAGTGGATATGACTTAATACCGAAGAAGTTAACACAAAGTTATGTAAATGTTGTTTTCAGCATTTATTAATTTTTTTAACAATCTGACAAAAGAACTCCTAGACCTAAGATTTTACAAAATATTTTAAAACTCAACAAACTACTTAGTGGGACAACGGTAAGTCTATGAATTTATAATGCTAAAATCCAGAGTTAGATTCCTCACGGTAGACATAGCAGATAGCCTACTGTGGTTTCACTCTAAAACACACAATCAAGCAAGAAAAAGCAAACTTAGTTTATTAAACAGATACAAACATCTTTGTAAAATTTATAGCTACGTTAATGCTTAAGAATGGCATAACGATTTGCAAAATATTAAATACAAGTAAAAGTACCCGTCCCCAGTGACCGGAAAAGCTTAATTTAATCTATCAAATTAAATCATATTTACATAATTATTTCATGTACTTTAAAAAGATTAATTGTTTTGTACTCTTGCTGTCACTAAGAGCCAAAGCTCTGAGCTACTTATACCGCCCACCGCGTAAAGTAATTGTAGAACATTTCAGTCATGCTAAGAGCCGCTCAATAATAACATACGGTAAATATACATTTTTATTCTTTGAGTTACGTCACAGTTTGAAATGTGAATGATAGTGTGATTAATTCCTAACAATTTAGTTTAGAATTTCCTGCTTGCGGAATAAAACTTGGTATCAACATTATTCATACCTGTTCTCGACGTCATTTCAAAAGTGAATGTTAAGCTTTGTCTGCGTGCTCAGCTTTTTAAACGCAGCGCGGAAAACGGCCGCCGTAAACGGGAGACAGACGAACGCTCGGACAGACACCGCGGTTTGCAATATATATAAGATTACCACAATATTTAGTCTATATTTCCCAATTGATAAAATATTAAACATTTGTTTTTTAATCTAAATATACAGACTTATAATATACTAAACATTTGTGTCTTTAATCTAAATATAACACTAGAATTGTTTATCAAACTTCACGAGTAATCCAAAGAAATATCGTTCAGTGTCGTTTAATTTTATAATACCTTATCAGGAATAAGGACTTCTGAGACTTAATATTTTAATTCGCGTATTAATTTGTTTAATGGTTCGATTACCTTCCTTTGTTATTAATTATATTTTATGCATTGTTTTGGTAGCTGTTCTTCTTACATCGGATTGTCACGAGTTGGTAAGTCAGAAATTGTTTTTATTTTATGATAAAGTAATCCATACTAGAGGAATCTTATAAAATGTTTTGTAAGTTATTGATTATAGTAATTACTGTGCTTTGTTAAAGATATTAACATGATAGATGTCCTTCTCATAAGCATTTTATCAAAAATATAAATTGTTCTCTTTTATGATTTATATTGAAAAAGTAAACTTAGATGTGTAGATTTCCAAACAGATTCGTTAAGACAATTATAAAACATTCACTATTTTCGAAGGTTTGATTTAGTAAAATCATGTATATTGATAGCTATGTTTCACAACAGTTCCGGTCATGTGACTTCTTTGTTCAATACTGTATCTATATATCCGTGTCAGTGTAAACTACTTGTACCTGATGATGACAAAATCTTATCGAAACGTTGAACATTTGCTGTTATGTTAAACTTATATTAAAGTTTTTCTTCATTACCCATTCAAGCCGTCTCCAACCATTACTGTTTATTTCTACTTATTATCTCGTCACATATTATTCATGAATTAAATACTGTATTTGTATTAAGCCATCGTTAATAATGAAATTACAAATATAATTAACATTTGTGCTAAAAGAGTCTCTAACACAGCTAATAGAGAGTTAGGCACCATTACTGATTTCTTTTCATGATTTTTCACTATATTTCTATTTAAAAAATTTTAAATCCACGTGTAAAAAAATGTCTTGTTTAACAAATATCCTTTAGAGAAAAACCGACACTTGAATTTTAGTCCTGTACAAAACACAAAATTTCCGTTTTTACAACATTTACATTTGGCAGATGGCGACATAGATGTTGGGTGTGTTTGTGGCTGGGAAGGGGTGGAGTAAGCAGCTCCAGTTACACTTACAAATTATATTTAATAGATTTTGTGAAATGCATTACAGATATTTAGTAAACCAACAATCTTAAAACAATATTACAGCAGATGTTCTTAAACTACGGTTCGTGACCTAAGGGGTTTACACGGGAGGTTCCAAACTGGCATCATAAAGGAGTTTTTTTTTTAGTAAATATTCATTTATTTAAAGAACGGTGTTTCTTCTTCTTCTCAACCTCTTTAGTGTCTGGTTGTACTACATGGACAGATTTGTACTACAGATTTTTGAGCAAAACTGCGCAACGGTTATCTGCGCATGACAGCCCTAATTTTGAATTGATAGACTAGACGAAAAGAAGCTAGTCAACAACACCCACAGCCAACTATTGGGTTCTTCTTGTTCGACCGAACAGTCGAATTTGACTGTCACCCACGGCCCCAACAAACGGAGCGCATTTTTTCGGTAAAGGGGCGCAAACATCAGAGACTCATAATTTGGACACACAAACCATTAAGTCCTTCTACATGTGTCGTGGTTGAGTGTTTTAAAATTATAGATTAATTTGAAAATGCACATATGCTGTATGTATAGAAATATATTATTTTAATAGTGTATTTTAAGGAATGTGTAATTATTCGCAGTTATCTGACAAACTTGTAGGTCTTGATTGTTCACCCTCGCATGGGTCTCGGAATAAAAAAGAAAAAGTTTGAGAAACTTTTTGTATGAGAGCAATGATTTATAACGCTTTCATTCGAAGTAAGATTTATTTGACGCCATTAAAGACTTTAACTAAACCCTGTACGATGAGTTTGAATTTCACGCAAAGCTACACGAAGACTATCTGCGCTAGCCGTCTCTAATTTAGCACTGAAAGGCTAGAGGGAAGGTAGCTAGTCATCACCTCCTACCGCCAACTCTTGGTCTACTCTTTTATCAACGAATAGTGAGGTTGACCGTCACATTATAATGCCCCCACGGCTGAAAGGGCGAGCATGTTTGGTGGGACGGGGATTCAAACCCACGACCTTCAAATTGCGAGTCAAGCGTCCTAACCACTTGGCCATGCTGTATGATTAGAGAGGCTTATAATTCATATCACAATACAAACCGATCTCTATTTAATATATTTTTAACTAAGTATAATTTCTAACAAACATCATTAATCGAAACTCTAAATCAAGTCACCCATATTAACATTATAATTGGGGGTGGGGAAGACAGCCGAAGAACAGAAACGGACTATAAATAAAGTCAAGTAACCTTATTAATAAAATTTAGTTAACATGACATGATCTATTGCCTAATACAACTAAAAATGTATTCAATCTAAGTTACTTTACTATAACTGATACGATACATAATTGTTTGCGTTGTCTAACTATTTCACTCCTGAAAGCCGGTGAAGTATTGAAAACTCGCCAGGCTTACAAATTGTTATAGAAACAAATTAACCACAGATGTTTTTTGAAGAGAAATTTGTGGAAAAAGAAAAACATCCACACTTAACTTGTTTTTACTCTAACGATGACTTAAAAAGTAGTTACAAATTATCTATAAATGTATTCACACGCAATATTCTAGTATGTTCTAGCAGTAAGAACTGATTTAAGAACGAACTATAGCTTGAATTGTATTGTTTGTAATTAAGCACAAAGCAACGCAATGGGCTATCTGTGCTCTGCTCACCACGAGTATCGAAACCAGGATTCTAGCGTTGTAAATCCGCAGACATACAGCTGTGCCACTGGGGGGCCTATAGCATGGAAAAAAAAGTTAAGCTGGTAATGTGGTCACTGAATAATAAAAATGGTTGTTTAAACAACAGTTTATGGTCATATTTCAGTCAAACTGTAAACTCATATGTTGAGAAAAATATTTGTTGGTGAGACAAGCTGATTGTATGTGTAGGTTTACAATCATCTAAAGAAAATATGTTGGTTGGGTCAACAGCAGTAAAAGCTAAGTAAAGAGTCACATAGAAGTTAAGTCTTAAGAATGTACAGGTGAAACGAAAAACGTTTCGTTAAAAAGAATAGTTCACTATTATAATTTTTGTATTTAGAGCAAGAGACAGGTTTCTCGAAGAGGTTCACAAAATCGGAATCAAAGGAGAATTCCTAATAGAAATCAACTAGCTACATCGACTAGAGACCCGGATTATTATTACTACTATTATGACGATTACTACGACGCAGATTACCACGACCATATTATCACCACCACCACCACCACGACTACTACCACAACGACAACACCACCACCTAGGCGACGGTTTCGAGGTCGCTTTCGTCGCCCTCGACGACGGTTCAGAGTAGGAGTTCGTGGAAACGAAAGGCTAAACAGAAGGCCGTTCAACAGAAGAAGGGGCAGGAGGCCCCTTTTAACTAGGCCCCCCGCAAACACCACAACTACTTCTACCACAACAACAACCCCTATCCCCACCACCACTCGCAGATACTACCCACCCAGGTATGACGGTCGATATATTGACTACCTATCCGATCCCAACCTTCCCAGAGAACTGAGCGGTGTCGACTTGAACGGGTATCCTTTCTTCCCCATCCTACCAGAAGACATCATTTTTGAGTGCAATGACCGTCATGACGGCTATTATGCTAGCGTTCCGCACAGATGCCAGGTAACGATAACTTAATTTGTTGTTTTTTATATGCTTTATTTTTTCTTTCTTTCGTAATATATCATTCACGTTCAGCTGTATATTGTTTGATAGTATATTGTTCATTTACATCTGTATATTGTTTGATAGTATATTGTTCATGTGCACCTGTATATTGTTTGATAGTATATTGTTCGTGTGCATCTGTATATTGTTTGATAGTATATTGTTCATGTGCACCTGTATATTGTTTGATAGTATATTGTTCGTGTGCATCTGTATATTGTTCATGTGCATCTGTATATTGTTTTATAGTATATTGTTCATACTCATCTGTATATTGTTTGATAGTGTATTGTTCATGTGCATCTGTATATTGTTTGATAGTATATTGTTCATACTCATCTGTATACCGTTAGATACAATTTCGTGCATACCATCATAGTAGCCACAACATTCCTATGGGTCCTGGGAGTAAGGTGAAGAAAGACATGGTTTACCTTACTTCTAGGTGAGTAGTGTATGTAATAAAAAGCAGTATCCCCCCCCCCCTATGAACCTGTGATATTCTATTTATACCACTGGGTGGACAATATATCATTCATTTTTCTTCGTCACTTCAAAAAATATTGTTAAGCATAACAAATTTAATAACCTTCAAATTGGTTTCGTTTTTATTGGGCCTTAACAGTTTCATCTCATTCACTGTATAATTTCTATAAATCAATAATCATTTGGCATTTGTTCACACAAACACTGATATTCTGTTACTTTTCTAAATTATCAAGTAATTAATCTGTGCTTCCGTACGATTTCTAGAATAATTGTCTAGGAATTTAAACGCTCGAAAAGGCAAGATGGCAGCTAAATATTACAGCTCGATTTTATTCTCAGGATCTGTAACATCCCAAAACCCTGTAAATTTAATGGTACTAGGAAATACCGTATAACAAAACTTCATAGAAAACTTTTTCATTTAATCTATCCCGTGCTTACTTGAAAGCTGAATTTTTGTTGGCAGAACTGTTTGATCTCTCATACTTCGTTCGCCATTATTCATGCTCCGCTTTAGCTTCGAGTAGGCCTAGCGTATATGGATATGAGTTATAAAATGTTCTTACACCAAACTTTAACTATAGAATATGATAGTATTTTCAGCTGTATGGTAATAGGATTATTGTAAATGCCTAAAATACAATGAAATACGTGTAAACATAAAAAACGACAAAGCAGCTCAAATAAGTCCAGGTACTAGTACCGCCTTAAAAGATAACTTCCGGTACTCAGTACCGGTGAGTACTGGCAAAATTTCACTCCTGGCTAGGGGTTAGTCAAATAATATTAGTTCTCGTAGCGCAGATTTCCGCAGTTCTACAAGAACACACTCGATGATATTATTATGATATAAACTCGGAGACAGACAACCATTCAGTGCTGAACTACTTGATCATGTGATCTATTGTCTCCGCGTGTTTACGTGTTATGATGACGTTCAATTCTAAGAGCCTTTGCACGGTTTCGTAAAATAAGTGCACGGTTAGAGTAGCACATTTAACATATGAATGATTTCTAAAACATTTAAGTAAAATACTATATTAGTGTTAAACAAGATTTGAATAGAGACGAAAGAATAATCACAGTAATCTCTCTCGTCGACATCGAGATTTAAGTATTTGTAGACCTGGGAGGGTCTGGTTCACTTGGACCTCTTCCTGCATTTCTGAGTTTACAGCTGAATATTCTTTTAATTATAAGATGAGGATCAGAGGTTGTGCTATTCCATTTACTCTGACCCCTTTCAAGGCCATGTCCATGTATGGTAATCAAGAAGAAAATATTCTCTTTGTTCGTTATTGCGTAAAAGTCACAAACATCTCGAACAGTTCCAGCTGCGTTTCACATATTTGTCATTAATTTAATTACTACCAGAGCGGTATACACGAAATACCCTTTTCAATGCTCTCTGAGTTAAATAAACTAAGGATGGATATAGTATTAGCTAAAGGTGGCCTTAATTTATATTTTATTTCAAATAAAGGGTTAATTTCATCATGTATGCAAAAATGGTCTAATTCACAAAATAGGTCATTTTATGCCAATTGTTTGAAAACTAATTTAGAGAACTATGTATGAGCCTATCAGGCAGTGTATGTATTGTTACGTCACTGGTCGTTAGTTAATTTTCCGTAAAAATTCTTTCCGAAGAAACTTTACCGATACAAGTCCTTTCTTAAATAAAACTGGTTTATTCTTTCTGAATACAACTTTGCAATACACTTAATTTCCACAGTCACGCTATAACAGACGCTATAATTCACAACGAACGACTCACGTGCTCGACTCAATCGTCAGTCTCTGTCAATTACATTACATTGCATTGCATTGTTGCCGTCACTTCTTGGCGGTCTTATATATACAAGAATACCGCATATCTAGTAATCTCTCGAGACTTCAGGAAGGGACGTGAACGTTCGAGAATATGACGCGTTACTAGCGCCACGTGACCCCCGCTGTCGTAACACTGCCCCTTCCTTAGTATTGT